AGAAGAGAGAGAGAGAGAGAGAGAGAGAGAGAGAGAGAGAGAGAGAGAGAGAGAGAGAGAGAGAGAGAGTTACAAGATTGGTTGTGCAGCTTTGAAGCAGCAAGTGGCGACCATGGCCGCCAAGCTCGGAGCTTGCGACGAAGAAGAGAGAGAGGAGGAAGGAGGAACGAGAGACGAAGGAGAGGGAAGGAAGCCATAGCCAAGGTGGGCAAAGAAGAAGAGAGAAGGGGGAAGGAGAGAGAGAGAGGTTGGTGAAGGAGAAGGGTCGACAGCCATCGAAGGTCGAAGTTTTGATCAGAGGTTTGACCAAGTTGACCGGCCGTTGACCAGCATTGACAAGAGTACATTGACCAAGTATTGACCAAGCTGGAGCTGGTATAATCTACCCAAGCCTCAAGCCTACACCCTCGCCCTATGGATGTGCGCATACCCCTTGGTACTTGCAGAGTGTCTGCCTCTTCTTTTTGAATTGAGTCACTTTTGTCCAGGTTGATAGGATTCCGTGCATGTGGTCATAGAGCTGTGTTGACCAAACCTACACGAGCTGAGTAGGGCTTAAATCCATGTCTAACGACTGACACGTCCCGAAGACCTAACCTTCCCAAGGACCTGTACAGACCGGCGGGCTGCTCACTGTGGCATAGTAGGCCCAAAATCCGAGTTGTGGGCTGCACAACCAGCTGTCTAAGTCTTGAGAGAGCTCTGCTGATCACGTCGTACCGGCTGTGACGTTAAGGAATTCCTAAGGAGTTATGGGGGATCTCCTTAAATGCCTCCTCATCAGCAACAGAGTTCTGTAGTGACAGCCTAGAAGTAGGTCAGGCCAGAGACCCTAGTTAACAGGATCTGAGAGGATTTTGTGGTCCCCAGAGAGTCGATCAGTCAGTCAGTCAATGGGTGGAAAGTCTTAAGTGGTGAGTGGAACTTTCACTGGTTGTGCGCCTTTCACCATGGTGACAACGAGAGGAGAAACGAGTACCACCCCGTATAGCAAAGAGCAAGAAGAGGAAGCCGCCGCCCTGCTGAGAGAGAGAAAAGAGAAGATGGAGAAGAAAGAGCTCATAAAGCATGCTGGCATCGATGGAAGCGTCGAAGGCCAAGCAAAAGCAGATGGAGGAGGAGATTAAGAAATGGGAGAAGGAGCAGGAAGAGAAAGTGGCAGCGATAGATGCAGAAGCAAAAGCAAAAGCAGAGAAACAAGAAGAAGAAGAAGAAGAAGAAGAAGAAGAAGAAGAAGAAGAAGAAGAAGAAGAAGAGGCAGAGGTTTCCCTGCAAAGGAACATGAGGGAAGAGAGAGGGGAATCTAGTGGACCGGAAGAAGTAGACGCGAAAGTGGAGAAGATGGTGGCCAACCTGGCATTGGGGGGGGAAGAAGAGGCATTGTTGCTTGTCCCCCAGGCAGAGAGGGAGGCATTTGCGAAAGACGTGCAACTTCCATTGCATACGGCTTTCCAAGTAAATCTTACAAGGCCGTATTCCCCCTTTAAGATTCATAACTTTGTGTTAGCGCCTTCTGTTCGGTCCTTTGATAGGGTCAAGTCCCACGGGTAATGGAAAGTGGAAAAGAGAAACGTTTGAAAACCTTAGCAACACTATTCAATTTTAGTTTTCGACCTAGCGTGGCCATGGCGGAATATTTTGGAAGCGGAGGAAAACCCCTTGAGGCAACAGACTATAGAGGAGGAGAAGAAGTTGGAGTGGAAACTGCGCCTGACAAGGGAAAGGACGAGGAGATTGGAGGCGGCAGAACAATGGAGAGAGAGCTACAGGCCGCAGAAGAGCAACGGGGGCAATTGGCAGTACAAGTAGACCTCCAAAGAAAAATAGAGATTCTCTCTCAGAACAAGGTTACCTGTTGCGGCTTCGCCCGCAAAACAATGAATGGAAAAGGGTGCAAATGAGGGCGGGTGGGGCTTTGTTGGTCCGGGTGTGGGTGTGGGTGGGGCTGGGGTGTTTTTAATTCTCACATGTGCACCGTTGTTGACAACACCCATGGAATGCTGCTGCTGCTTTGTATGCTTTGAATATATGTTTTTTTCTCTTGTATTTTTGCTGTTCTGTCCTGTCAGAGTCCTGATCACCAGTTGCATTCCTTTCAGTTGTGGTTTGCTGAGTAGGTGGTTGTTCCGATTTACACTCATTGCATACCTGTCTCTCGCTCACCACAAACATTCTTTCTCAGCTGTTGGGAGATACGCAATTCTGTGATCGTGTGGAGGGGGAAGGGGCATGTAGTTAGGTAGATTGGGGTCTCTCTCTCTCTCTCTCACACACACACACACACACACACACACACACACACACACACACACACACACACACACACACACACACACACAAACACAAACACACACGCAACACATGCTCTTTCTTCTAAAGGTCTCGACAGACCACGGATCCCTCGACAGGCCGCCCTTCCTTCGTCCCGACGTAAGAAGTGCTGCTTTTTCTTTATCCGGTGGACGTAAAGGGTCCATTTGTTATCAAGATCGATCCATTTCTTTTAAGATCTCAACACGGTTGCACACATGCAAGAAGGAGAGAGGGAAAGCAGGAGAGAGAAAAAACGCATTTCACCTAGCACACTTCCTCCTCTCTCTCTTCCTTCCTCGCACGTTCTTTGCCTTTGTCTGTCTCCTCCACCACCAAACGTACGTCTTCTGCCTCCTCAACATTCTCCCTCGGTCTTTCCTCTTTGGAGCGGCCTTTTGAATAACTGCCCTGCGCCAGCTATTTCAGGCTATCCATATTTCTTTCCATATTTCACTCTCTTCCTCCCCAGTCCCACCACACTGAGTCCTCTCTCTCTCTCTCTCCCTCTCTCTCTCTCTCTCTCTCTGTGTCTGTGTCTGTGTGTGACTGCACGCGCTCGGCCTTATCGCAAATTAAGAAAGATAAGAAAAACGGAATGCACTCTCTATATCGTCCCCAGATAAGAGAGCAAGAAGAGAGGGAGGACGGAGGGCCGAGGAAGGTAACGCCACCGGAGGAAGGACAGAGAAAGCGAGTGAGGGAAGAAGGAGAAAGGTAGGAAGGAGGGAGGGACGATGGGGCAGGAGTGAGGGAGGGAGGAGAGAGGGTCGAGGCAGGAATGGAGGACG